ACAAGGCACCGCAAAATGGAGGACATGACCAAAGAAAAACCCAAAACACACTCCTCTAGAAATGCAAATCCGCGCTCCATTCGTGATGCTCCAAGCAGTGGTTCCCCAAACTGTGCCCTTTAAGAAGCTTTGGACTTCATCTCCCAGAAGCCTCAGCCATGTTGACCAATAGTGTGGGATTCTGGGAGTTGAAGTCCAAAATCCCTTACAGGGCAGCGTTTGGGGAGGACGTTTTGGAATTCCTCCTGCCTGGACAGAAGGTTGAAATATAGTATAGGACAAGTCTTGGGGAAGGAGTAGCCTCTGGTCACCCTGGTCTTGTGTGACTTATGGTGACCCTAATACAAGCCTGTCACAAGGTTTTCTTGGCAAGATTTGTTCAGAAGTGTTTTTGCCAGGGCCTCCCTCTAGTTATGGCCTAGATTGAAAAAGGCAAATATTCTCTCTTGTTCAGTAAAATAGCCAATAACTAACCAACAGTAAGAGGATTACAAAAACAAGACTTTATTTGTTGATTTTTAGACCAGGAAAAGACTAAGCCTGGAGTTCTTGGTAACTCAGATCAGGACTTAGCAAAGAAATGACAGCTTCGCAACTTCTTTTATTTCATATGTGGAACCATTGTACATCATTACTATATTTAGAGTCCAAAAAACAACGTACATTACAAATATCACCATTAAAGATAATACAAGCCACTATATTTAGGACCCAATGTACATCTTTAGTTACATCCAAATGAGGGTATAGGATGCTGAACAATATATCATGCATTGACAAATATACCAACCAGTTGTCTCTCTTTAAATAGCATAATGGAATTTCTTAGCTGGCTCTCGTTTATTCTTGGTTAGCTAGACAAGGCATCTTCCTCTAATTCTGGTTAAAGATTCTTTGAAAAATAATAATTTCAATATTAAGAAATCATTTCTGTATTCTTCATTTCTTTAAATTTTCACTACTTCACTCTGAGGCTGAGACAATGTGACTTGCCTAAGGTCACCCACTGGGTTTCCATGGCCAGGTGAGGATTTGAACCCTGGTCTCCAGCCAGAATGTCCGGAGGTCCTCCTTTTCCAGGACATGTCCTACCTTTCAACCAGAAAGGATTCCAAAATGTCTTCCATTTTGGGCATGACTAAGATGCATGGATTTAGATTTCTGTGTGTCTTTTTGAGCTTTTATTTGGTAATGTCCTACGTTTTTCTTGAATATCCTACATAAATTTCAGGGTGCCGTGTCCTCCTTTGTGGTTATCTCGTCACCCTGTCGCCAGCATCGAAGTCCAATGTTCAAATCTCTACAGCATGATGGCTGTCCCACAATAATGATAGCATGAAACATAATAAATAGTAAAAATTCAAAAATTTAGTTCTGATGTACAGTGGGCAGTGGTAATTCCGAGGTGAATTGTTGTTGTTGTTGTTGTTGTTGTTGTCTTCATTTATTTATATAGCACTATCATTGTACATGGTGCTCAAGTGTTTCTGACTTATGGTGACCCTATGGTGAACCTATCAGGGTTTTCTTGGCAATATTTGTTCAGAGAGGGTTTGCCATTGTCTTCCCTTGAGGCTGAGAGAGTGTGACTTGCCCGGGGTCACTGGGTGGGCTTCATGGTCAAGCTGAAATCAAACCCTGGCCTCCGGAGTCATAGTCCAGTTCTCAAACCACTACATTATGCCATTCCCCACAGTCATAATCACAAGGTTACTCTAGAGATGCAGAGGTTCATTAGGAGAGATTCCCATAGCTATACTCATAAAGAGAATCCAGAAACACAGACAACTCTGTTGATTTATATCAACAAACCAGTTTATGTTGTTGTTGAGTGCCTGCAAGTCATTTCCAACTTATGGTGACCCGAAGATGAGCCTATCATGATCTCTATGCCCTTCTCTGAGGCTGAGAGAATGTGACTTTCCCAGGGTCACCCAGTGGGTTTCCATGGCTTAGTAGGGATTCGAACTCCAATCTCCAGAGTCCTTGTCCAATGCTCAAACCACTACATCACCCTGGCTTTCCAGAGCAGCTGTAAAGCAGTGATTTCTAAATTTTGGTCTTCCAGATACTTTGGATGTCAGCCGTTTTTTAGAGCAAGCAAGAACATTTGTTGTAAAAGATAGGGAGAAATCCCCTCCCAAGTAAGTAAGAAGTAAGGAAAGGCACTCTTTTGTCTGAAGAAGTTAAAAAAGGAGAGAGAGGAAGAATCCCAAATAAAAAAGGAATCCCAGTATTGGCTTTGTTCAAAACTGTCATTTGCAAATCAGTAGTTTTGTGTGATTTTCCCCCCAAATAATTATTGTTAATCTTTTAAAACTGGGTGGGTTGATCCTGAATCTATAATTAAATGATAACATACTAAATACAGATCAACTACATGTAAAAATAATTTGCCTATAGTACCAAATTTCAATATGGATGCATTTTTAAAATATTCAAAGATACAGTTTGATAAACAATTATAGCTGCTCATTTTCAGAAGGATGGGCCAACTTTCATTCTTTCTTTCTTATTTCCTGTTGCAGGAATATGGAGGATCTCAAGAGGATATAAATTTAGAAGGAAAATAATGCAACAACTGAATTGGGGCCTTTTCACACAACACAATTATAGCAGTATGATTCCAGTTTAACTACCATGGCAACATCCTACAGATTTCTGGGGTTTTTAGTTTGCTGAGACTAGAGGGGCTCTCTTGCTCAAAATTCTAAATATCTTTCATAAACTACAAATCCTAGGATTTCACACAATGTTGCCATGGCAGTCAAAGTGGAATCATAATGCTATAACTGTATAGAGTAAAAACGTGCTGTTTATAACTGGTAATATCTTAATGGGAATACTTGGGAACCCTACACTACGTTGTGCTCAAGATGTAAATGAACAAGCAAGCTTGCAGCCCTCCTGATAAAAACTGGCCATTGGCTATTCATTAAACTACAAATGAAATCTTGCAGTCTCACAGATTACATTGCAGATAATTGGCAATCTTCTTTTGTGACAGATGTAAGAAGCTGCCGTGAGAATCAGAACAACACTTTGACATTTATTTATCAAACAAATTAATCCACTTCAGAATTTATCTGGCTTTCAAGGCCTCTCACTGTCTTCCTTAATAAATAAAACTGTTTTAAAAGTTCTCAAAGTACAAGCAAGCAACAAGAAGCAGATAAATTTAGTAACACAATTTAGTAGATTTTCTACAAATGTCAGCAGATTCAGACAGAAAATGAAAATGCCCAGGAAATAAAACCACAACTATCAGATTTGTAGCATGTAAATGTCGACTCTGGAGAGAACATTTTAATCCTGGCACGCTGTGATCTGAGCCTCTCTGCCATCCCATTTGGACCTAGCCCACTGTTGTGAGATGGGACATCATAACTCCAAAGCCGCCTCTATTGCGTGACAGAGGGGCTGGATCTAAATAAAACTTATTATTATTATTATTATTCTCTGCTTACTGCGTATAAATGTATAAATGACGACCACAGCTGATGAAGAAAGGGGTTACACAAAGGACTTTCCACAACAGAGATATAACAATAATGTTTATAAAAGAAATACCTTATTTTCCTGCGTATAAGACTACTTTTTAACCTGCAAAATTTGTGGTTGAAGGGGGTCGTCTTATACGCCGGGTATAAGGATAAGGAGAATAGAGGTGC